GAGGGGGGGGGGGGGGCGCAGCTCAAGGGGCCGGCGCGGCACACGGCTTTGGAGAGCCGGCCGAGTTAGGCACCGTGGAGGGACGGGGACTCGGCCGATACCGGAGCTCACTGTGCTGTGTAAAAACTGGAGGCTCAGGTGCTCTGAGTAGTGCTCAGCATAATTGTAGGAGAGCAGTGTGCTTCATAAAGCTGTAAGTACAGGCGCTCGGTGCGGTGCTTCACAAAGCTGTAAGTACAGGCGCTCGGTGCGGTGCTTCACAAAGTTAGGCACCGTGGAGGGACGGGGACTCGGCCGATACCGGAGCTCACTGTGCTGTGTAAAAACTGGAGGCTCAGGTGCTCTGAGTAGTGCTCAGCATAATTGTAGGAGAGCAGTGTGCTTCATAAAGCTGTAAGTACAGGCGCTCGGTGCGGTGCTTCACAAAGCTGTAAGTACAGGCGCTCGGTGCGGTGCTTCACAAAGCTGTAGGTACAGGCGCTCGGTGCGGTGCTTCACAAAGCTGTAGGTACAGGCGCTCGGTGCGGTGCTTCACAAAGCTGTAGGTACAGGCGCTCGGTGCGGTGCTTCACAAAGCTGTAGGTACAGGCGCTCGGTGCGGTGCTTCACAAAGCTGTAGGTACAGGCGCTCGGTGCGGTGCTTCACAAAGCTGTAGGTACAGGCGCTCGGTGCGGTGCTTCATAAAGCTTGTAGGCACAGGCGCTCGGTATGGTGCTTCACAAAGCTGTAGGTACTGGCACTTGGTACGGTGCTTCACAAAGCTGTAGGTACAGGTGCTCGGTGCAGTGCTTCACAAAAGTGTGGGTACAGGCACTCGGTATGGTGCTTCACAAAGCTGTAGGTACAGGTGCTCGGTGCGGTGCTTCACAAAGCTGTAGGTACAGGCGCTCGGTGCGGTGCTTCATAAAGCTTGTAGGCACAGGCGCTCGGTATGGTGCTTCACAAAGCTGTAGGTACAGGCGCTCAGTGCAGTGCTTCATAAAGCTGTAAGTACAGGCACTTGGTGCGGTGCTTCACAAAGCTGTTGGTACAGGCGCTCAGTACAGTAGGTACAGGCGCTTGGTGCGGTGCTTCACAAAGCTGTTGGTACAGGCGCTCAGTACAGTAGGTACAGGCGCTTGGTGTGGTGCTTCACAAAGCTGTTGGTACAGGCGCTTGGTGCAGTAGGTACGGGCGCTTGGTGTGGTGCTTCACAAAGCTGTAGATACAGGTGCTCAGTGCGGTGCTTCACAACGCTATTGGTACAGGCATTTTGTCCGTTGCTTAGCAAAGCTGCAGATCCAGCGCTTTCCACAATACATGGAAGAGCTGTAGCTACACACAGCCGGCGCACTGCTAAGCACAGCCGTGGGCTCAGAGCTGTCCTGATAGGCCTGTTGTGCCTGGGCACGTTTCCTACATTTTCCCCAAAGTCCCCCGGGCTTCCAGGTGTCAGCTGGGAGCACAACCCCCGCCCCACTCGCTGAGCACACGAAAGCCAGTGCAGGGCTGGGAAGTTGGGCCAGAGATTCCAGCTCCAGTCCCTGTTCCTGCAGGCGCCTGTTGGCTGGGGAGATGAGCCAGGGAAGGTGTGTTGGTGTCAGGGTGGGCGGGCATGGTGGGGTCTGGGCTTAGGCCAACATCCAACCAGGGGGGCTCAGGAGGAAATCTCAGATTCTCCAAGGTAGCTAGTGGCCCAGCTCCCGTCGGTTTAACCCCCCTGCTCAGAGAGCCCCAACTCAGCGAGCGATCGCTGCCTAAATACCACGGTGGAGTTGGGCTGAAGTTTCCCGGAGGGCAGCTGTGTCCTGGCAGGCCTCTTGCACCTGTTGCTGGCATCCAGTAGAGCCGGGACGCCCGGCTGGACAGGCTCCTGTACCGATCCAGGCTGGCATTTCCTGAACGGCCTAGGGGGCCAGGTTGGTTGGATATTCACTCCTCCCCGCCCCGGTGTCAGAGTTACGCCATAACCCAGCCCAGCACGGCCGGGCCGAGCCGGTTCGCAATGCAGCGTCGGTCCGAACGGAGGCCAGTCCAGGCAGAGCCAGTCTTCGCTGCGCCCCAGCACCGGCAGCCTCGTGGGTGTTTTCTGAAAGCCCCGGCACCGTCTCCTCACGACGCAGCCGGGGTCTAGGCAGCCGGGTTGCAGAGAAAAGCTTAAAGGCAAGGAGCACCG